TTGTTTATAATTTTTATCTATTATCATGTTTTTATTGATTTGGATGTTAATGTATTTTATAATTATACTTTATATTTGATAATTAAATATTTTTATATTATTTTATATATTTAATAATGTTAAAAACTAATCAATCCGACCGAACCACACTAATCTGATTTAAATTGGATTGGTTTGGTTATCACATAATAATGGATTGGATTGGTTTAAAAATTTTATTAACCAATTAAATTGGATTGGTTTAAAAAATAATAAAATCCGAACCAAACCACACCGCGAATACCCTTATCTTTCCCTTTCTCTTTCGCATTCCCCTTTTCTTTCCCTTTCGAACCCAGGTGTTGGGTTCGATAGAACCCAATGTGCCTTGGTTCCAAGGAACCCAGCACGCTTGAGTTTGATGGAACCCAGGCGCGAGTTCCTTAGAACCCATGCGCTGGGTTTGGTGGAATCCAGTGTGCTTGGGTTTGATGGAAACCATGTGCTAAGTTCCTTGGAATCCAAGATTTTTGGGTTTGAGTTCTGTTTTTCTTTTTTCTTTTTTTTCTTTTTTGTTGATTGATGATGATGAAGATGAAGAATTGATTGATGAAGAAGGCAAGATAAGGAAGTGGAAGGAGAAAGAAAGGGTGTTGTTGGGTTTGATTGAACTCAAGTGCTGGGTTCGAAAGACTCCATGAGCAAAAAATTTTTAAATAAAATTTTGTTTATTTGGTGAGTTTTATTGTTTGATGATGATGATGAACTTAGTAAGAGTAGAAATTGGTTGAAATGAATAGATTGGTTGAGATCTTAGAGTTTACAGGGGGTTTGCAGAAGTTGAAGAAATGGTAGATGAAAGAGAGGAAGGAAAAAAAAAAATTTTTTTTTGGGGTGGGATGAGTTGAAATGGCTGTGTCATTTATTTTTGCCAACTTGGCAATTTTTTGTGTGACATGTAATGTTTTTTCTGTATTTGGCTGTCAATTAACGTGAAAAATTAATGGAAGGACCAAATTGGGATAAAAATGGTAAACAATAGAGACCAAATCAAAGATTTTTTAAGTTTAGGAATGAAATTGAGGGTCCATATAATAGTTCAAGGACCAAAATAGGGTTTTAACCCATTTTTTTCATAATTTTTGATAAAAATCTTGAAAAAGAAAGGAATAAAGCAGAAGAAAATAGGAGGAGATGAGTTTGGCGGGGAGCCAGCACCATGGCCCACCGTGATGGACGGCGACCGACCCTTTCCAGTCAATTCCTCCCAAAGCGGAATTTACCTTTCTCTCTCCTTCCTCATACCATAAAAGTATAGTCTTTCTCGGACTATTAATTTTTCTTTTTCCTTTTTTTCCTTTTCAATTAAAAAATTTTAATTTCTTTTTTATTAAAAACTTCACTAATTGGCTAATTTCCACCAAAATAATCCTCAAAAATAAAGAAAAAAGAACTGCACTTTCTTACAAAACAGCAAGATTCTCAGAAAACAACATCAACAACAACGAATTCTGCCTGTAAAAGATCCAAAAATCAATTAAGGTACCTTCAAAATTTTTTTAATAAAAAAATTATTTCCTTTTTAATCTTTTTTCTCATTGCATTTTGTATTTTCCCTTTTCAGCTTTTCACCTGAAAATTATAGCTGTAAATCTTTCCATTTAATCCTGATTCCCCTGAACTCCGTTAATCTAAGCTTATTTTGAAAGTGGGAATTGAAGGGGACGTGTGAATTCAGCTGTGGGGCATTGATGATGACAGAAAGAACTCCAAGTTTCAACCTTTATCAATTGGGTTGAATTTTTTTTACTCACATTGTTTGATTATTGTTTCTGTTCTTCAAAAATCTGATTTGGGGGTTGAATTTACAGCTCTAATTGACAATAATAATTTAATGTCATTTACAGTTCATGTACTGTTGTGGGGTGGCTTTTGTTGTTGCCGTTAGGGATAAGCACGCCTGGCACTCATCATTCCCTCCAACCTCCTCCTTTCTTCCCTTTCTCTCTCTCTTCCATCGCAACCTTTTTCTCTCTCTCTGAAACTTACTGTAATTTTTTCTTTTCCTCTCTCACTTTTTTCCCTTCTCAGCTTTTGTTTGTCCCTGTTATTGAAAACAGTCTCCTGTTCTTGTTCTGGTTTCTAATCTTATTGGTTGGATTGGATCTGAGTTCTGTTTTGTTTGAGATTATCAATTATCATCAACAACAGGTATTTTATTTTCTGGATTACTGCTTCTTTTTTTTTTTTGGGAAAAAAAAAACGAATTTTCATGTTTTTCGATGCTGGTTTGTGAATTAGTTTTAGTTTTTCTAGACTCCATAAGGTAAATAATTGCAAAGTTTGATTTTTTTTTTTTTTTTTTTGTGTTTCGGTAGGTGGGGATTTGATCTGATTGGTTTTTATTGATGTCTTGCGGCTTGATCTGCTAACAATTGATTGTGTTTTCTTGCTTGATTTGCTGCCAGTAGAGCAATGTTTTTCTTCAAAAGACTGAGCTTTGCTCGTTTTGCGCGATGCGAATTTTGATAAAAATATGATCTTTTTTGTATTTAGCTACATGGCATTCATTTTCGGTATATGGGAAACCGGACACTGTCTAAGAAAATGGGATTTCCAAATTCCTATGTCAAAGTCCCAGTTATATTAATCCATTATTCCTTTTGGGTGTCTCAGGGGTGGATTTTTCTTTTTCTGGCACTAGGTATTTTCTGGGTTTTGGATGTGTGCATTTGCTATCATGCAATGTATAATAAGAACTGTTTTGATGTTGAATGACCACAGGCCGAAATTCGCAGCTTTCCTTGTTCCTGCAGACCATGGGGTTTGCTATTGTTTTTGTTGGAATCTTAATTAAGTGCCAGCCGCAATATGTTTTTCTATTTAGCATTTTATTTATTTTGGAATTCTGATTACTGGAGTTTCGGTGTTCAGTGATAGAATCAATGCTAGATTGACATGCACATCACAGTCTTGGTGCCATTATCAAATTTTTTATGTTTTGATTCGCACTGAGCTTCTTCTGTATCTTCTATCCTAAGACTTCTTGCTCCTGCGTTAATTTATATCTTTCTTAAGTGGTAGGATATCAGTGTAGAATAGTCTGAACGGATTTCAAAATTTAGGAAAATTTCTGGTTCCAAAATATCAGCATAAAGCGTCATTATAATTTATGAATACATTTTAAAAAAAAATTTACATATCATATGTATTTTCGTCTTCTTTTTCACCTCAAGTTCAACTGATGGTATTGATTATGTATCAGGTACTCTAACTTCCATCTACAAGCCAAAGTACTAGAAGCTTTTAAAGCTGCAAAAGCAGTATGGCTGTTTCCATGAGAGATTTAGATCCAGTCTTTCAGGGAGCTGGACAAAAGGCGTATCCTTCTGTTGAAAATGCAGTTTTTTTCATGGATAATCAATATTAGTTGCTATTCTTCAGATTAGATTCTGAATGGTTTGCTTTTCTAGTGAATTTAAGTTTAAAAATGGAATGGAGAATGGCATAATGAAACTAATGCCTCCAGTTATCACAGCTGCAGCTGTTTTAATCTTGGAGATGTCTCATTCTGAGTTATAATTTTGTTCTTAAATAAATTCTCCTTGACAATATGCAGTGGAATTGAAATATGGCGCATTGAAAACTTCCAACCTGTTCCTGTTCCGAAATCCAATTATGGCAAGTTCTTCACAGGGGATTCCTACGTAATTTTGAAGGCAAGTGGGTTTCTTTTTGTGAAACTATGTTTCTTATAGATATATGGTTTTGTTGGCAGGCTTCAATAGTAGGCTACAATAACTTGGCTATGCAGTGTCTTGTTGAAGTCTTCTAGTAGTATCAGGGAACATCTATATAATACTAGAATGTATATAACCCTGCCTGGTAGGTGTCATATTAAATCACTTTTTCCCTGGTGAACAATGTGTTACTTTCTCCCCCAGTGTCTTAATCTCTTAACTAAAATGTGCATTCTATACAGTGGCATTTCTCCTAACTGATCCTAAAGTTTGGTCCCTTGTGAACTGAGTTGTTTTTACTTACATAAAAAGGTAACACTTATTCTTATTGTATGAAATGAGGCTATTTGCAAAATAGGTTCTGAAGCTATTGTCAATTATATTCTCAGAACACTTGATTTAGTGCAATATGGATAACTGCCATTGATAATAAATTTCAAAACCTGGTATTTGTTACTGACAAGAATTAGATTCCAGCATGATTTTTCTATATGTTATGGTTTTAGTTGTAAGATCATTCGAGATTCGACTCAGTTTTCTTGATGACTATTTTGTAAATAACACTTTTTGTGCAGACTACTGCCTCAAAAAGTGGTGCCTTACGACATGATATACATTATTGGCTTGGTAAAGATACCTCTCAGGTAAATACTGTTTTTAAAATTGCTAGTTCTTGTCTGCCAAAATCATAGCATGTACAAGTAGCTGTGCCCTGTGGGTGGCTGGGTGCCATCTAGAAACCACATGGACTTTCTTTCCTTATTGTTATGCTTGCAAGTTCTATGGAGGACCAAGGATGTGGTTTGGGCCAATGAGAAGAATGTTGGTTAAGGAATGACTGAAGAAGTTGCCCAATCGCTAGATAAAGCCCCTTCTGACTAAGTTCCATTGAAAATCCTTAACTGTGTTTAATCGTGTGATGTAAATCACTTCTTGGTGTTCCCTTGGGATATGGGTGATTCTGACTGTTATAAATTAATTTTGTGACTGCAACTCTTTTATGTAGGATGAAGCAGGTACTGCTGCAATCAAGACTGTTGAGCTTGATGCAGCTCTTGGAGGACGTGCTGTGCAGTATCGTGAAGTACAGGGTCATGAAACTGAGAAGTTCCTCTCTTATTTTAAACCATGTATCATACCACAGGAAGGTGGAGTTGCATCTGGGTTCAAACATCCTGAGGCTGAGGAACACAATACACGTTTGTTTGTGTGTAAAGGCAAACATGTTGTCCATGTTAAAGAGGCAAGTTTGTGGACTTAGCTTCTCTTCTCACATGTAATATTCTTATTGTTGTAACTATTCATGCTTTCCATTTGTGAAGTTGGTGATCTGTGTTGCTGCAGGTTCCTTTTGCTCGTTCCTCTCTCAGCCATGATGATATCTTTATATTGGATACCAAGTCAAAAATTTTCCAATTTAATGGTTCCAACTCATCCATTCAAGAGAGGGCCAAAGCCTTAGAGGTTGTTCAATACATTAAAGATACTTATCATGATGGAAAATGCGAAGTAGCTGCCGTTGGTAAGTGAACTATAGATTGGACCCCGGGGAAGGAAAGAAGAATAACAAGAATGGGAAGTTGATGGTGATGAATAAGCACTAACATCTTGTGTCATACTTGCCTTTTATGCAGAGGATGGAAAGTTGATGGCTGATGCTGAAACTGGAGAATTTTGGGGTTTTTTTGGTGGCTTTGCCCCACTTCCAAGGAAAACAGCCATTAATGAGGATAAGACTGTGGATTCATATCCTACTAAGCTACATAGGTATATATTCTCTTTCTGCATCTCTCTCTCTTTCTCAGGTGATTGGAAGAGGCATGTTGATCTCTGCAATGGTTGGCATTTTTTATATGCTAATGTACTTATTTGTCTTTATCTCACTCTTCATTTCATTTTCCTTTCAGCTTGTTCATAAGATTTGTCAACTAAAATTTCAACAAAAAGTATAAATGTTGAGTTTTTGAGGGAAAGCGTTTGAGATGTCAACATAGATAAAGGAGCGATATTGTTTCCTTCTAGATTTATAGTACATTGAGATAATTGATTGAACTATTCTTTGCTTTCTAAGTGTTGAGAAGGGGCAGACAGAACCAGTTGAAGCCGATTCTTTGACAAGGGAGTTGTTGGACACAAACAAATGCTATATACTGGATTGTGGGCTGGAAGTCTTCATATGGATGGGTAGAAATACATCCCTTGAAGAAAGGAAAAGTGCAAGTGGAGCTGCAGAAGTAACACCAAGTTCTTCCTTATATACAATCTTAGTTGTTATTTCTGGTTTGAATTGTTCAATAATCCTCTTTATTATTGTTGATATTACTGACAGGAATTAATCCGCAGCTCTGATAGACCAAAGTCCCACATTATTCGTGTAATTGAGGGATTTGAGACAGTTATGTTTCGGTCTAAGTTTGATACATGGCCACAGTCAAATAATGTTGCTGTTTCTGAGGATGGTAGAGGCAAAGTTGCTGGTTAGTTAGTGAGATATCTGGCATATTTTTTTTGTATTAACAGGATGAGTTTTCCTTTACAGAAATTGTTGTTATTATATAATCATTGCATCACTACAATCGTTGTCAGTTTAAAATACCTATGCTTGTTCTATCACCAATGATTTTGTAGCTCTTTTACAACGGCAAGGGGTTAATGTCAAGGGTCTTTTAAAAGCTGGTCCTGCAAAAGAAGAACCACAACCATATATTGATTGCACTGGAAATTTGCAGGTATTTTTTGCATTTTGTATATTTTTGTGCACAATTGTATATATTTCTTTAATGTGTGCACACCTTTTCTACTTCTATAATGTGGCCGAAGAATAATGAATCTAATATGAAGATTACTAACGTAGAACCATTCTTGTTGTACAGGTTTGGCGTGTAAATGGTCAGGAAAAGATTCTCCTTCCAGCTGCTGATCAATCAAAGTTCTACAGTGGAGATTGCTATATTTTTCAGTATGCATATCCTGGAGAAGAGAAAGAGGAATATCTTATCGGAACATGGTTTGGAAAGCAGAGTATTGAGGTGAATTTAATCATTTTTAACCTGTGTGATTATATATGGCTGAAAACACATTGCTTACGTGCATATGCATTTATGAGTGTACTTCTAGCTCTCCATATCTAGAACATAAATGAAATTGATAGTGCAATTTCTGCTTAAAGTGCTGGCAGTGTGTTATTACTTATCATGCATTTACAATTAATAATAACAGGAAGAAAGAGCTTCTGCCATTTCACTGGCTAGCAAGATGGTTGAATCATTGAAGTTTTTACCTACCCAAGTAATATTACTTTACCTTGGAGTTCTACTTTGATATTATTAGTTTTTTTTTTTTTTTTTTTTTAATGCATGATGCACTTTTCTTTCTGATGGTACATTATTATTGGTTCATAGGCTCGTTTTTATGAAGGAAGTGAACCAATTCAGTTCTATTCAATCTTCCAGAGCTTTATTGTCTTTAAGGTATGTAGGATTTTAATTCCTGGCCTCATTTCCTAGTATGATCTCCATTTGACCTTTTTTTCAATTTCCCATATGACAAATCCAACTTATCTGAAATTTATTAGGGTGGTCTAAGTAATGGATACAAGAACTCCATAGCAGAAAAGGAAATCCCAGATGAGACTTACAATGAAGATGGTGTTGCATTATTCCGAATACAGGGTTCTGGACCTGATAACATGCAAGCAATACAAGTTGAAACAGTATGTTATCATTTTTCCTTTTACCATTTTTGATCCTCCAGAACTTGTACGGAAGTGTGATTAGTAAAAATATTTCAGAAGCAAAGATGTGTTATTTTCACCGTGAATTTCACACTGGATGTTGTTTTTTCTTATAAATTTTAGTGGTTGTTTTGTCCCAATACAAGCTCTTGGTATGTTTAATTTGGTTCACTTTTTGTGTGTGTGTGTGTGTGAGATACTTATGCTTGTTTCCTTTGTTTTTATCATCTCTCAGGTTGCATCATCTTTGAATTCTTCGTATTGTTACATATTACATAGTGGTTCCACTGTCTTTACATGGACTGGAAACCTTACTACCACAGAGGACCACGAACTTGTTGAGAGGCAGCTGGATTTGATAAAGGTTAGATACTAGATGTGTATTTGAAGTTATTTCCTCCTAGGTTCTGATTTAGGCTTATATCTTATGCACAAGTATTGCCTTGAAATTGTTTTCAAATATACACTGTCTGGTAAGAATTACTAAATGCATTGTGATGAAGTGACATGTTTTTGTATTAAACATTGCCAATTAAGTTTCAAGTGGTCACTATTGAATCAGTTATGATTAAATGCATGGTTAGTGCTACTTGTTTTTTTACTTCATGCTGGTGTCTTCTTCAGCCTAATTTACAATCCAAGCCACAGAAGGAAGGTTCAGAGTCTGAACAGTTTTGGGAGCTGCTAGGAGGAAAATCTGAATATTCAAGCCAAAAAATTGCAAGGGAAGCTGAAAGTGATCCTCATCTGTTCTCTTGCACATTTTCAAAAGGTATGGAAAACTATATATCTGTTAGAAAACTTCTTTCAAAATTTCTTATTATGTCCAATATAAGATGTCAATTTACTATTTTCTAATTTCTTTTCTCTTGTTAATGGTCATGGTAACTGCAAACTACCTATGGAATTGCAGGGAATCTGAAGGTGTGTGTTTACTTTCTAGTCTTACTTTCTAATTTCTTGTGGACTATGATGTATGTAGTTTAAATTATATTTCAATTAAAATTCAAGAATGAGTTCAATCTTGATTTTTATTTTTTTATATTCTATCTGTTGATGGATTATGCTAGCCAGAGTTTATTATGATATTCTTTTGAATCAGAGCTCATTATGATTAGGGGCTTGCAATTCCTGGATTTTATAATCTTGTGACACTATTTGAATGGAACGAGTTAGATTTAATCAAATTATAGACCATATAAAGCCTGATGTTTAAAAAAAAAAAAAAGTTTTATTTTGTTATTCATGGCTTATCCTCTACTTTGTTGGCCTACTATTTTTCCATAATTTATTCCATGGCTTTAAATTGAAATTTTGTTGCAGGTCACAGAGATTTATAATTTTACCCAGGATGATTTGATGGCTGAAGATATATTCATCCTTGATTGTCACTCAGATATCTTTGTCTGGGTTGGTCAAGAGGTTGATACCAAGAATAGACTGCAGGCCCTTACAATTGGAGAGGTATGATCAACTAAAAGTGATGCCTGCAATGAAACTTTTGCATATTGACTTTGTGAGTGATAGTAGCATTCTAATAGTCAACTTATTGATCTTGGTGTCTCTAAATCATTTTGATTGGAGTCTTAAATACTCATAATAATGCAACTTGGCATGGTCTCTATGCAAGGATTATGTTTAATTTAGCTGACAATTTATGGCTTAAGATTATAGTTTGATGAGAATTTTCTAGGCATGTTCTTACCCTTCCTCATGTTGGACAGAAATTTCTTGAGCATGATTTTTTGTTAGAAAAGTTGTCTCGTGAAACTCCTATATGCATTGTTATGGAAGGGAGTGAGCCTCCCTTTTTTACTCGATTCTTCACATGGGACTCTACAAAGTCTTTGGTAAGTAACTTTGAAATTTAATGCCAGATGATTCTTCAAACTCTGCAACTTTCTAAGGTTTTTAATAATTGCATTTGGCTGTAGATACTTGGAAACTCATTTGAAAGGAAGCTTGCCATAGTGAAGAATGGGAGTACTCCAATTGTGGATGTAAGACTTCTCTTAGCCCTTTACGATTTATTGAAACTTGTTTATTTGATCCTGATTTGAATTGTCGATCTCCAGGGTGTGCATTTACGTTATAAACCTTAATTTCTAAGTCTATTAACATTTGTATAATTGCTTTTCTATTTCTGGTCTATCAATGAGTGTTACATCAGATATATGGTGATTTTCTGATTTTTAAAGGAATCCTTGTGACATTTTTTGTTCACAAAACAACTAGGTTGCTGCTTAAGCAGGCTTTTTATTTTGTTGTCCATGAGATAATTACTAAAGATTTGAATCATCATGCCAAAAGGACATCAAACATTAAGCACGAGTTCCAGCTTGAAAAACAATCTGATTGATTGCGCTGATGGAGGGATTTGAACCTGCTTTTTAGCATGGTTTGCATCAATCCTTCCCACTTCGGTCAACCTGAGGGTAAAAATATTAAAGTTTGAAACTTATGTTTTGAACCTTTGACCTAATTAAGGTAATCTAATGCTTTAACCATTAAGTCACTTAGGTAATTTAAATTCATTAAGAAGGTTTGGACCTTCAAGCATTCACTTATGTGGGAACTTTGATTGCAAACTACTTAAATTTACTTTATCTGACCACATATCTGAATTCATATTTAGAAACCTAAACGGAGAACACCTGCAACATATGGAGGGAGATCAAGCAGTGTTCCAGAGAAATCTCAGCGTTCCAGAAGCATGTCCTTCAGCCCTGATAGAGTTCGTGTCCGTGGCAGGTCTCCGGCCTTCAATGCACTAGCAGCAAATTTTGAAAACCCCAACGCCAGGAACCTTTCAACTCCACCACCGACGGTCAGAAAACCCTATCCAAAGTCTGTAACTCCTGACTCTGGGAAACTAGGAGCACCAAAATCTACTGCTATAGCAGCTCTTAGTGCTTCTTTTGAAAAATTTGCACCACCACGAGAGATTATCATACCTAAATCCATTAAAGGTACAATTTTATTGAGGTTTTTATGCAAATTTCAGTGTTATTGTTCCCAGTTTCTTTTATATAATTAATTCAAGTGTGTTTTACATGTAAATGAAGTGAACAAAGAGGCACCCAAATCAACACCGACGCCTGACTCGAAAGAGAAGTCAATGAGTAGCAGACTAGAATCCCTCACAATACAGGAGGATGTCAAAGAGGGCGAAGCTGAAGATGAGGAAGGGCTTCCAACATACCCATATGAACGTCTTACAACAAATTCAACAGAGCCTGTTACAGAAATAGATGTGACTAAGCGAGAGGTACAAGTTTCAGATGATGCTATATTTTTTGCACTTGTTTGTACATTTAAAGTTTGCATGATCAATATTGTTCTGATAATTTCATATGTTGAGCATGCAGACTTATCTGTCATCAGGAGACTTCCTGGAGAAGTTTGCAATGACAAAGGCTGCCTTCTACAAGTTACCCAAATGGAAACAGAACAAGCTTAAAATGGCCCTTCATCTGTTCTAAGTCTCCCTCATGCATCTCATTTTCTAAAGTTCCCTGCAAACAAGGCTGTAGGTGGAGGAAAGCCAACCTGTGAATGTGTAAATTTCTATCCTTCTCCAATGGTTCTGCTCGTCTTCTTAATTTCAAGTTCTGAGCTGCGTTGGTCTCTTTCTAATGCAGTGGAAGAACTCAATTTCTGAGGTGTGAAAGGGACAGCATCAGTGCATTTTTAGCTGCTTCTGCTCCCAAGGAGCTTGTTTTCATGATTGATAGATAAAAATCAGGGTGCCGACCTCCTTTTCTTGATTCTGGTTATCTGAGTGTCTAGCAGTTTTCTTCCTATTATCATTGCATTTTTGATTGAGGTAGAAATTCTTTTGGTATTCTTTATGCT